ATGAAATATTACATCATCTTTTACTCCATCATGGCATATGCAGCAAAGAGAAATATTTTAAGCAAGTGTCAGCACTTCTATCGAAAATGCTTTCCAATGTATTTGGCAGATTTTTGTTTTAGTTTTAAATATTCCACATACTATTAAGAGCTTTTATGATTAAACATCTGGACAGAAATCATGAGAAAAGTATAAACATACTCATTTGTCAAAGAGAAGCAATTCACCTTTGAAAATAAAAAGGAACTACAATGTGTACTGTGTGTGAAGTCCAAATACTGGTATTTAAATCTCTTCGAAGCAGTTCATGCTTCAGTAATTAAGAGAAAAAAAGAGATGAAGACTTTATTTAAGCTGAGAAGCCCCTAATGTGGATCATGCTGACAAACAACAGTTCACTCAATATTTTGATGAGGGTTTGAAAAGACCTTCACACATCCACTAGAATAAGGTCATATAAATCAGCACTGATCATTTACTATTCCCCATATTGGCCCATTGCAGGCTTTGAAAGTTATACTAAACAATAACATTTCCACCTTTTAGAAAGGCAAGTTTGTGAAGATAACATAATACAACCCGATGTCTTCTTGAACGGTTAGTTTACATTTTAAATGTAAGAAACATACCCCAAAATTGTGTTTAATAAAAAGCCGCCACTACAGCAATAGGGTAATGGAAGCTTCTGAACTCCGGTTACTTTTCTAATGGGATGCTTTCTCCTGCTTCCAGATTCCAAGGTGATCCGTCATCTTTAGAACCCGATTGGCTTAACTGCTGCGCCACGTCCGCCCAGGCCCATAACTGCCGCGCCACGTCCGCCCAGGTCCATCCTCGAGGGCGTTCTCCGTTGTGATCTGTTTTATCTGCCAGCGTGCGTTTCCGGGCTTTTGAAAGTTGTTCTTTTTTGTAATTTTTCTTACTTGATGGGCCTCCACGAAGTGTTCCTTATTGTCCCTGGCACGTCCAAATAAAGTTTACGTCATAGCAGTTCCAAGATTAACATCAACTACTTCTCGTAACTTGGCTTTTATACTCTGCTTTACAGCTGATGATACGGTGTTAAAAAAGGCGTTCACGGATATAATTGGAGCTGTTTGGGGCTATGTTTCTGTCCGGGAACCCTCTGTTAAGAAGGCTTTGGGATCATCATTTTCTCCTATCCTATATAGAAATGAAACTGGACTTAATTCCTGGAAACTTTCATCTCCTTCGAACATAGGCCTAGCTCAACACTTCTAGTTCCATCTCCAGGTCTCGTTGGTACCCATCGTGGCGGCCCTCTGGGCATCTCCCCAGTGGGCGGGCAGCGATTGCGATGCCGCAGAAAAAGCGAGGGCAAGCAGTGTGTGGGCAGGGAGCCAGGGGCTGGTATAGGAGCAATTTTGGGGTTAATGCCGGACTGGGCAGTGCAGCGTTCCATGTACATTGGGTCGCTATGGGTTGGAACCCACTTAGCAGCAAGTCCGAATGAATACATTGGCAGTGAGTGTGTTTTATTGACCGTGCAAAGGCATTTCACCATGTGGATCATAACCAACGATGTCTAGCTGTGAGAGGAATGGGAATTCCAGAACATTTCATTGTGCTTATGCAGAACCTGTACGTGGATCAGGAGGCAGTTGCGCCAATAGAACAAGGGAACACTGCATGGTTTAAAACCAGAAAAGGTGTACGTCAGGGTTTCACCCTCCCATCATACTTATTCTATGTGTATGTTGGGCAAATAATCAAAGAAGCTAGACTATGTGAAGAAGAATGAGGCATCGGGGCTGGAGGAAGGCCTATTAACATCTTTGATATGCAGGTGCATAACTTGCATGGTCTGCTTCCCAAGACCTCCCTAAAGTGTTGAAAAGCAAGGGTGTTACTTAAAGAACTAAGAGACACCTGTCCCAAGCCAGGGTATTTCAATGACCTCATATGCAAACGAAAGTTGGGCATTAAATAAAGGAGACTGGAGAAGAATCGAGACATTTGAAGTATGGTGCACTGCCAAAAGGACAAACAATCCTACTGGGAAGATGAACAGCCAGAATGCTCCTTAGAAGCAAGAACTGCAACTTTGTCTCATGCACTTTGGACATGTTCTCAGGAGAGACCAGTCCCTGGAGAAAGACATCGTGCGTGGTAAAGTAGGGGGCAGCAAGGAGGAAGAACCTCCAAAAATTGACACTGTGACCACAAAAGATGGGCTCAATCCTAAACACCTGTGCGGAGGGCCCAGGGCGGAGGGGTGTTGGTTCAGTTCTGTTGTAAGGTTGCTATGAGAGGGACCATTGCCTCGTAACAGCAACAACATGATCCCATGTTGGAGAGGACTCTCCCTGATAGAATTAGGGTGGGAACCCCTGTTGGCATCGTGGTTATGAAGTGGACTGCTGGAAACCCCACTGGCTCTGCAGAGAAAGACAGAGCTTTCTACTCCTGTCAGAGTTACAGCCTCAGAAACCCGCAGGAATAGTTCTGTCTTACAGGGTCACTATGAGTCAGCATTCATTGGATGGCAGGATGGCAGTGAGGTTGGTTTTGGAAGTTCTGACCTTAGGAAAGAGGGTGAGCCAAGTCATACTCTCTGTGTCCTTAGCGTATCTTTAAGACTACTTTATTAGAGGTATGCCGGGCTAAAAGAGAAATAGAATACACAAGGATAAAATCATCTATCTCTGTGAAAACAGATGATAACGAAGCTCAATATCGTCAGCTAAAAGGAGGCCACGAGCTAACTGGAAAAGACCCCAATTGTTTCTGTGCACACTCCAACTGAAGCTAAAGAAAATGAAAATGAGTCCACAAAAGCCAAAGCGCAACCTTGAGTATATCCTGGCTAAATTGAGAGACCACCCCAAGAATGTATTGGACGCATTCACACCAGAGTGAGAAGGTCAGACAAGCTGTGGGATGACATCAAGAACACACACATGGAGAAAGCACAAGGTCGTTAAAAAGGAAATAAAGGAAAACTCAAAGTGGATGTCAGAAGAGGCTCTGAAACTTGCTCTTGAAGGTAGAGACACTAAAATAACTGGAAGAAATGATGAAGTAAAACAGCTGACAAGAAAACCTCAAAGGGCAACTTGAGCAGGCAAAGTAAAGCATTAGAATGAAATGCGCAAGTTCTAGAGTTGGAAAACCCAAAGAACAGCCTTGGCAGATCTTAAGCCCAAAGAACTGAAGAAAGAATTTCAGCCTTGGGCTACAATATTGAAGGATTCTATGGACAAAATTTGAACGATGAAGGAAGGATCCAAAGAACAGGGCAAGATCCAGAATCACTGGAAGAAAAGGTCAAATGTCAACTGTTTCAGTAGCTAGGTAGCATACGGTACAGGACCTATGGAATGGATGGGAGAAGTTCAAGTTGTACAGGAGCCATTGGTGAACACTGGAACAATTTGAGGATGGCGCAAGACTGGGCAATGCTGTGTGCTAGTGTACACAAGGCCAGCGCCAACTCCAGGGCACCTACCGACAATAGAAACAGGAAAGAATTCCAGTCTATTTTGTATTATGCTGTGTCTACTTTTCTTAGGGCCTCCTCCTTATCCCTCACCTCTTATGGAGGGAGAGCTCTGTATCTGGATGATTAGTGTGCATGTTGCAGTGACTGCTATAGTGTATTATCTTGACATAGCATTCAATACAGGAATGATAGGCAGTAGGCTCTCTATGAATATTGAGTAAAGAAGGATTGCTGAAGTGATTGTGGTAGATTATAAGAGCTAGAAAAAAATTTGATATCCCATTTTCTTCTCAGCCAAAAAGAATAGGCTAATGCATTTGTAGTTAGTTTTTCAAGGCCAAATATATATATGTAAAAAAATATATAGTAATAATTATACTTTCTGAACACAGACTTAGGTGTTTCTAATTGTGGAGGACCTTCACTGTTAAATGCAGGAATAAATGATGTATTGGAGGGGGGGCTTTAAAAATTAAAATATGAAATTAAAAAATACTGGGGTTTTCTCAATTTTTTGTCCATTCATACTCATTTTTAAAGGACTTATTACTCTGAAGGGGCTGAAAACGGTTATAAAAATCAGCTTGGAGGAATGGGGAGGGAGGGGGAAAATGAGGAGCTGATAATAAGGGCTCAAGTGTAAAGCAAATGATTTCAGAATGATGGCAACAAATGTACAAATGTGCTTGACACAATGGATGTATATATGGATTGTGATAAGAATTATACGAGCCCCCAATAAAATGATTTAAAAAAAAAAGAAATTCAACTACTACAAACATTTTAATAGTTAATATAAAGAACTATGTAAGGCCAGGGGGAAAGAAACACAGGTAAACAATTTTATAGTTCCCAAATGGGATTTGCAACATATGCCAATGATGTAGTTAATAAGCTCTAGGGATTTTTGGCTAATCATGTACTGAAGAAGTGACAGTAAAGACAGTAAAAAACATTTAAAAATGGCCAGTTATTGTCTAAAAAATTTTAAAAATCCAATAATTAAACAAGTTCTTAAAAATGTTTTTAAAAATCAGCTTGTCCTTTTCTGTCCTTTGCGTTTTCATTTGAAAGGCAGCAATGAGTCAGAAGTGAATCCAAGACACTAAGTAATTAATACAAAACGTTATTACCGTCGTCTACATAAACACACACGCACGCACGCATCCGCTCCCCCTCCCCCCAGCAAACCTGTGTAGGGTTCCCGGGTCTGTAAATCTTTACCGGAGCACGCAGCCTTATCTTTCTCCTCTGAGCGGAGGGTGGATTTGCTTCGTCACCGTTCAGCCAGCGATCTAGAGCCGGGCCGACACAGGAGACGCGGGAAGGACCAAAAGCCACCGGTGGGACTGCGAAGCCGGCGAGTTTTGACCTTCTCGCCATCCCGTAGTTGGGGGCGTGCGCGAAGCGGTGGCGCGCGCGTTTGAAATAAGTGACGGTTCGTCTCACCGGAACTGCTCGAATCCCAATGTCAGTTGCTGGCAGGCTCTGAAGTAGCCGTGGGTGTCGGTCGGAGCCACTAGGGACACCTACGCGCCCTCTGGTCACCCGGCCCTCTTCTGCCCGCGGCTGGCCACGACCGCGCGCGGCTGGGAAGAGGGATTTTGTCTCCTGAGATCTGTTGTCGCCAAGAGCCCCGAGCCGAGGCCTCTGCGTTTGCTTCGCCCCAGCCCCGAGCCTAGAGGGACGTTCAAGGCCTTGGGAATACGAGGTTAGACCTGGAAATGATCCTAGGAATCGCCTCTGTTCACCGCTGCCCAAGCCTGCGGGCACTGCTTAATCACGGCACGGAGTGGGGGGTTCGAGAGAAAGCCCCCCTGTCCGGAAGCGCAGCCGAGAATATGTACTCAACGTAGTACTAACTCACTAGGATACTTGCACAGATTTGGGGACCTCCGACCTCTCGGATGGAACCCCGCCGATGCGCTGCCTGCCTCCAGACCCATTCTTAGGCTGCGGCGCTCTGGGTTAGGCGGTGGACTCCCAATCCCAAGGTGGGCTGTTCAAATCGCCAGCTTCGCTGCGGAAGAAAAGTGAGGCTGTAGTTCCCATAAAGATGTATAGCCTGGGAATCTCGATATAGGGCTGCTACTTATGGAAGTGGGTGCCAGGTACTGTATTCTCAACACTGTGTTCTGTGGAAAGTGTTCGTTACCCCAGTTATCCGGTGCCATCGAGTCGGTTCCCACTCATAGCGAGCTCTGTACAGTAGGACACCCCACCGTGCCCTGCGCCGCGGCATCCTTACTATTTGTATGTTTGAGCCCATTGTAGCCACGTTGCAGACTCATCTTGTCGAGGGCGCTCCTTTTTCACTGACCCTGGACTTCCCCAAGCGTGATGTCCTTCTCCGGCGACTGGTCTCCTGACAACACGTCCAAAGTATGTGAGACGAAGCCTAAGACAGACTGGGTTGTCCTTTTGGCAGTTCATGGCGCTTAATATTTGCCAGCACCACAATTCAAATGCATCGATTTCTTTCACATGCATGGAAATACCATGGCTGGGGTCAGATGCACTTTCGTCCTCACTTTAAAGAGGTTTTAGGAACAAATTTACCCAACCGCGTGGGTCTCAGTTCCAGCCCTTGGACTGAGCTTGTGACGACTTGTGAAATAGGAGTAGGAAACACCTTTCACCTGGGTGTAGTCTCCGCCTTTCTGACCGTCTTCAACTGTAGATATTTTGACTTCCAGGAGAGATAACTGGACTATAGCTGGGACAGTGGGGAGGGTTTTAGCAACCAGCTCTGTTCTCTGGCTGACTGACTGACGGGATAAACATCTTGTAGCTCTTCCCCTGGGAATCCTAAGGCTACCGGGAGGTAAGGTGTAAAAGGTTTAAAAAATAATCTGATCTCCTATTTCCTGTTCTGATTCCTACTTTACCCATTATATTTTCTCTTACTTTTATTTTCCCATTTTCTGTTACCCATTTATTCCTTAGGTTTGCCAGTGGTGTCCAGTTACTTGTGTCTAGTTAGAATGATTGTAACTGTATAAACCAATCTCTATGTATATCAATGAACAGACTTAACATTAATAGACAAACTGGGCATTTAAGATTCTATTTATAAGAAGTTTAAGCACATGACACACAGCCAGTTTTGCGTTTACAGAATGAGCTTCTAGACTTGTCGGAACAGCCATGTCTTAGATAAATCCAATGTGTGACTTAACTTTTTAAAAATAGAAATTCATTTTAAAACTTTTTTGTTTGCGTCATCTAATTATTATTTATTTATGAAATATGCTTCAAAATATACAGGTTTTGAATTACCCTGTTCGCAGTATGTATATTTATATAAGCAATAATTTAGCAGCTTTATAGAAAGATATTTGCTTATAAAATTCACTCTTCATGTGAAACCCACTGGCTTTTAGTGCATTTATAGTTAAATGTATTGAACTCTTGTCGTCACTGAGTCAGTGCTGGCTCATAGGGACCCCCTCTGGGTTTCTGAGACTAACTGTGTACAGGTGTAGAAAGCCCACGCACAGCGCTGCTGGTCTTTTTGAGGTGCTGACCATGAAGATCACAGCCCAGTGCATAACCACCGCACCAATGTGGCTTATATGTATTAAGCAGTATCTAATTTTAGAACATTGACAGCACTCCAAAAAGAAATGTAGGCAATAGCAGTCACTCCGCACCTCACTCCTGGCAACCACGAGCCTATTTTCTGTCCCTATGTGAAAACCAAACTCGTAGCCCGTGAATGGATTCTAACTCATGGAGAGACTCTATGTATGTCAGAGTAGCTGGGCTGCCCAGGGTTTTGAGTGGCTAGTTCTTCTGAGGTGCCTTTAAATGGATATGTTAAGTGTCTATACTTGCTACCTAGGGACTCCTCTCTGGTTCTGGATCGCCTATTCTGGACATTTCCAATTATGAGATCATGCAATAGTCTATGGCCTTTTCACTCAGTATAATGGTTTCAAAGTCCATCTAGATTGTAGCATTTATTAATACTTTATTATTTGTTATGGCTGAGTGACATTCCATTATATGGATGATAGCATAGTTTGTGTATCTATGCATTGGTTGGTCCACATTTGTAGTTCTCCCTTTAGGCTTTGTAGAACAATGCTTGCAGAGATGGTATTTTAAAGGCTTCTGGCAACTACCATTGGGAAGTGGGAGTGGCAACACAGTGTGAGAGGGAAACCTTTTCTTTTTTTAAAAATCATTTTATTGGGGGCTCATATAATTCTTATCACAATCCATACATACATCCATTGTGTCAAGCACATATGTACATTTGTTGCTCTCATAGTTCTCAAAACCTTTGCCTTCTACTTTAGCCCTTCATTTCCCCCATACCCCCTCCCTCATGAACCCCTCATAATTCATAAATTATTGTTTTGTCATATGTTATACTGTCCG